CTAGTCAGATCCCCATGTAATTCCTGACGTGCAATTCGGTTTTCGGTCTGAACATAGTACGGAGCTGCACCATTAACGAAAGTACCGGCATCTTACTTTTGGATGTCTCAAAAGCATTTGACAAGGTGTGGCACGCGGGCCTCCTGTATAAACTAATCCAAAAGGGCTTCCCTTTATGGCTTCTAAAACTATTGAAATCCTTCCTTGAAGGTAGTAAATTTCGGATCAGAGTTGGCAATGTTCTGTCGACAACACAGCTGATTACAGCCGGCGTCCCTCAGGGTTCGGTCCTTGTGCCTATCTTTTACTCACTGTACATCCATGACATCCCTAGCTCCAGCAACTGTGAAGTCTATCTCTATGCTGACGATACTGCATTGGTGGCTCAGTCGTGGTCTGGTGACCTAGTCCATGACAGGCTGCAAAGTGCGGTGGAGGAAGTATTAGATTGCGCGGATCGGTGGCTAATTAAAATTAACCATTCGAAAAAGCAGGCAATCTACTGTACAAAAAGACGGTGCGGCGTTCCGGCTGAAGTTTCAATTAATGGACTTTGTATACCATGGGAATCCTCCGCTAAGTATCTCGGTGTCATTCTGGACAAAGGGATGACTTGGCGGAACCATATACGTATAGAAGCGCTAAAAACTAAATTCCAAACTACGTTTCGACAGTTTTACTCATTATTATATAAACGTTCAAATTTAAGGTTGATTAACAGGATTCGACTCTAGAAGGTGGTCATAGGACCAGCAATGACTTACGCATGTGCGGCTTGGTGTTTTATTGCTAAAACACACATGCGAAATCTGCAGGTTCTTAGAACAACCAAAATTGGAGTGGTAAGACAAAATCTTTAGAAAAAAAATTCGAATATTTTTAGACCATATCAAAATCTGTGAAGTGATTTTAACAATGCCTAAACGCCGCCTATCCTCAAAGATTCTCTTCTTTCCCTTTGCTATCGTTCTTCCTCCTCTCCTTTCCTCAAAATTGTCTGGTTTTTGGGTTACCAGACCTGACAGACGTACAAACTGACACTGTGACTCAAGAGCTAAGGTCCCACGGACCGCTCTGACAACCAACGATCAACACCAATAAACTGTTATTGTTATTATAGTCAACGCCAAACAAAGTGGCGTGCACGTCATCAAGGTGGGTGTGTTGAAAAATTTACATTGTTGCCAAACTTTTTGTAAAATAATAAAATTTATTATTTACATATCTAGGTTTATAAGCAATATTAACCTCAAATGAGAACAAAAATAATAGTATAATAAAATTATAGATCTGTACTTGCATAATCATTAAGTATGACAATTATTGACCAGATGACACTATGAAACTACCATATTTAATTGATAGCTTAAAGGTACTGAATAAAAATCCAAATGGGGTCCTCCAAATGTTATGCATGGTATTTATTTTACAGAATTCATACAGAAAAATGCATTCTAAAATTAGGTAAGCTACTGGTGTAAGCTTTTTCTGTACAATAAAGTTAGTCGGAGTTTCTTTCTTCAGCGCTGTCTGAATCTGAATCTTCATCACTCTCAAAGCTGATTATTAAAGGTTCGATGTCTGGTCGATCAAAAATTCGTTCTCTTTCATACCATTTAAAAATTTCTTGCTCAGTATGTCGAACACTATTTTTCCACATGTCTGGGGTAACCGTTTGTAGAGCCTCGTTCCACATATCCAAACAGTCTTTTTCACTGTTACCATCTCTACCAATATGTCTGTTATAGTGACCTTTTGCTATGCCCCAAATTAACTCAATAGGGTTAAATATACAATGGTAAGGAGGCAGACGAAGAACTTTGTGCCCATGTTGTTCCGCCAATTCATCAATCACGTATATTTTAGGTGGTTTGTTTCTAAAAAAGCAGTTATTTTAAGAATAGGAATAAACAAAAGAAATATAAACTGTCGACCAAAATATATATAATTAAGAAGCATTATGTACCGAGCAACAATACTCAATAGCTCTGTTTTAAACATTGTGTTTAAAAATGGTATGTTTTGATTTGTCAACCAGTCTTGGATATTTTTTTTTGTCCATGCATTGTTGGGCACTTTGTTCAATATCATGCTGTGATAAGGGGCGTTATCCAGTATAATCATAGATGGACTCTCCAATTTTTCTAATAACTGATGTTGAAACCATTTCAAAAAATTGTCCTGGTTCATCTCTCCATGGTAATCGCTCAATTTTGTTTTCGAAGAAAATATCGCTTCACTACCCTCAATAAACCCATTTTCATTTCCAGCATGTAATATAATGTATCTAAAATATATTAGTTTTAAATGTTATAGTGCAAATTGTGTAAAAGTACATACCTTTTACCATCTGTTTTAATAGCTTTCACGCTTTTTTGGTTTCCATTTTGCCAAGAGCGACCTATGGTCCCATTTTGAATTATCCAAGTTTCATCGAGGAAGACAAACTGGTATAAGGCCTCAACCTTGGCTTGATTGTATTGCCTTAGAAATTCCACCCTTTTCAAAGCTATACTTGGTAGTTCCATGAGCCCTCGTCGCGGATTGTCCTTAAGCCACTTAAATCCAAGATCTCTAAGCAACCGCCTTAAAGACGTGGCACTACCATCAAATAATGCCCTATCTCTTAATCGAGACCATAAAATTTGTATCGTAACTTGTTCTTCTGAAACCATGTGTAATATGACATTATAATTTAGTTAACAAATTAATGCAAATTTCTGATAAGTTATTATAATAAGATCTTACTTTTGTGATACATATTATAGATCACTTCTCGAATGGCACTTGTATCCAATGTCGCTGTGTTGGTTACACGTTTAATATAACTCCGCTTTTTCTTGGGCGATTCTAAATTTGCATCACTTTTCACACCCTCGGAAATACGACTAACTGTCCTTAAACTAATTTTTAAAGCAGCAGCAACACGCTACAAAAAATGAAATAAAATTTCACTATTATTAATATACATTACATATAATTATTAGTAACCTACCTCTTGAACAGCATTTAAAGGCAACAAAGGCCCGTTGTTGTCCCTTTCTTGCTCAAAGTAGTGCATTAACGAGGCCACGAGTTCCTTACACCGACTATTTAACTGTTTGGGCATCTTTATATACCAAAATTGCCTTTATCTACTCGTAAAATGAATAATTTTGTTTTGAAACAAACAGTTGTTGATTTACAGTATGCGGAGCCAAAGGATTTATAAAGATTTGAAATGCCACAAATTGATTCAGTGTCAAAATTAATACAAATGTCAGTTCCCAGTTTAAATAAGTTTCAAGGTGACAATGTGTCAACGCTGCGAAATCGGTTTAGTGCGTTTACATGTCGATAAGTGATTGGAGCGTTTGCAAAACATTTTATTTCGCATAATGCGTCTAAATTTATCAGAAAGCAACTTATGTGATATTTTAATAACAATGTTTATATGACTATTAACCATAATAAGAGAGTAATGACCATTTTACAATTTATATATCATATTAATATGAAACTGCAATAGAGCAATTGTTTGTGATAGAAACCTAGGCATTAGGTCGGTTTGGCGTTGACTATATATTATTTGCTTACTTAGTTCATATGACATTAATGCCAAAAACCGTGAAAATACCTATATTGGGTGTCTTTATTGACTTTTTAACTGCAAGGTTGATATACAAGTAAAGAACGGGAAGCGATATTCAAGCAAGTTGCTCTTAAACACAACCCCCACCACATTTGCACCACGTTACACAATTCACATATCAAAACCGCCACCACAAGTTTCGAGCCGGTTTCTAGTCGGATATGGATCGTGTGTTTGTCAGGGAATAACCAACTTGCCAAACTGAGTCACCTCAAGTTTCCGTTATTAAGGTAGGTCGACTACTTAAAGTGACAGGTTGCGTAACGTCGGCTGAAGATACGGGTACAACTTCTAATTGGTCATACAAACGAATTTACACGGAGGTTCATTAGTACTTTCTGACACGTCGGGGAAGTTTCCGTATGAGCACCTGGAAGTTGGAAGTTGGATATTACGGTAGTATGGGTTGTAACGTTAATATTTTACGAACAGCCGCACTTTGCCTGAGAGGGTTCTTTCGTCGTATGTGACTTCGACATTCTACTGGAAATAATTATATAATTCTAGCGATTCGAGTCATGTGTACGAGGTCTGTAAATTAAGTGTTGAGACTGGCAACGTAGCGTCGGATCTGGCAACACTGGAGGCGTCGGGCTTGGAGGGGCGATAAGGGACCATATGGTCCGCCTTCAGTACAAGTTTGAACTCGCTCGATTTTTTCAATGTTTGTGTTCTAAAAATGAGTGATATGATTTTCGAAAAGCGGTTTGCTAACACGTTTTGCTTTAGACTTGGGCACAATGCAACGAAAACTCTTGCCCAGGTTCTTCGGTGGTCATTTTCAGAAAGGAGAGAATCGATTGAGGATGAACCACGAAGCGAAGTCCTTCATCAGATCAAGAACAACTGGGTGTTGCATTACGATAATGCTCCTTGTCACATAGCAATGTCAATACGAGGGATGTCTTTTATGTTTTGCATATAGAAATAAAACAACACGGTAGGTAGTTTTAAATGACTGTTTTTCGAAGTATTCTCCATGAAGATTAATACACATCTGCATGCGCTCGAACCAATTATCGAGGCACTTATTCCACTTGTCTGCTGGCAGATCCAAAATGGCATTTTTGAATGCGTCAACTGCTTCTTCTGGTGACTGGAACCTTTGACTACGCAGTCTGTTTTTAAGTTTCGGGAAAGTAAACAAATCGTCTAAGTAGATCCTAGGCAACTTAAGGAGGTTGGAAATAATCTAAAGAAATTATAAGCAATGCAAGGATATTGGAGATCAATAGGCTGTGGCTCTGCCTGCCGAAGAATCGCCGGCGATTCGTCACAGGCCATGACCCGCTGGGATCCACAGCCGCACCGCATTCGGCATCATTAGCGGCTCTCGCGTTATTGTTGTTTCGATTTTTATTGATGGCAGCCATAAATCGGAAGCAAGAGAACAAAAGCGGCCGGTGGAGAGCGAGTGTGCAATCCCCTTCTGGAAAAAATGTCGATTTCCGAACAGACGCTGAAGGGTTCGTAATTAGTGCGGTGCTGTTAGATAAGAAAATTGCAGGTAACACTGTTTTTGTAAGGCATTCAATGCCTATTACTCATGAGCTCAACTGGGCAAGCCGATAGTGCAATTTGACTATGACATCCTTCATGACAATCTTCATTCATATATAGGGTGATCCAAAGGTCCCGAACAGCAAGATACTTGAAAATGTTCAAGAGGTATAGTAAAATCAGGTGGAATAGTAGATATTCAGTATTTTTAACTGACTATTCCCTGGGACCTCGAATTTGACCTTAAGCGTGACTATGAAGGTTAAATCAAGATCGAGCTAATGGGACTCTATACGTTTGACTTGACCCTGGAGGTCCTGGCCAAGGTCAGCATAAAATCCCCTAAAACAAAAGTTTCAACTTATCTTTTCACCAACGACCATGAAACTATTTTTCATACCCATATCTTTTACACCAGCACGGGTATGACGCATCTTGAAAAGTGACATTATGTCAATTTTTATGTAGGTTGATGATAACTATCTGATGGACACGTTGTGGACTAGTTTTGTAGTTGTACGTGGTGCCTAGACGTCATGAGGCTTCAGTTATCAATGCTTGGCTCTGATGTGATGCAAAATCTGAGTTGTATTCTATAGCTAGAAATAAACAGCAATGCATAAGTGGATAGTGAGGATTTGTATGCCAATAATATGTGTTGATGATAAGTCCATTGGATTCTTGTCTCAAATACACTTACTTGATATTCAAAGCTAGAAATTAGTTGCGCATCCTTTTTTTTATCCATTCTGGAAATTACATATGCAAATTTGCCAAATTGCAAAAATGAAAGAGGTAGGAAGTAACTATATTCACTGAAGACTGTCGAATTACAAGTCATATACATGGTAACAGTAATTAAACACAACGTGGGTGCGGCGGTGATTTCCTGTGATTTACAAAAAACGTAAGAAATAGTAATTTAAAATCTTGAATATAACCTGTCTTGAGAAAGGACAACATATAAATGACCCAGCTAATAGTTGTACTTCATTGGCAGCATATTCAATAATAAACTTCTCACACTGCAAATATATTGATTTTATACACATGCAGACCAATACACATAATCATCTAAATGCGATCTTGATATTCGGCCAATTTTCTTCATAGAGATGAAAACTACAGACTACTCGGTTTCATTAAACATATGCAACCAACAATGTGTGTGGTCATTCCTCTATAGATAATAATAATAATAATATTTATTCACTCAATGTACAAAGATAACAAACAATATGAGTAAATAAATATAAAATCAAAACAGGCCCAATAGAAGGCATCGCCTGTACATGGACCAATAATTTAAGTTGAAACTGTAGAATGCAAATGACAAAAAAGGACAAAAATTAGCTACAGTAGATTATGTATTTAGTTGATGTTCGTATTTATGAGTTTATGAATTTCAGTCCTAGATATAGAATGTAGCCACTTTTTTAAATTTCTTTTGAAACAATTTCCGAAACGTAAATCTTTTAAGTCTTTAGGTATAATTTCATAAAATTTAGGCGCTAAATAGATATATGATCGCTGCATTATAGATTTATGCGGTTGAGGAACTACTGTACCACGAATTTTGTACCTGGTATAATGATTTTGTTTAATTTTTTGGTCGGTGTTTACAAATTTATGGTAGTGAGTGATACTGTGTAAGAAATAAAGCTGTCTTATATCATACATTCGAACATCTGCGTATAATTTTTCAGTGGGATAAAGTTTCGGTTTTTTAAATATCATTTTTAGAATACTTTTTTGAAAAACATCTAAATTATAGATATGTGAGATGAGGCTCAATCAGTGCATGGTATAATGTTCGAAGATATTTTTCTGTCAATATATTCCCAAGGTATTTAATTTTGTAGGATACAAATCTAACTTTCTTTAAAATATAATTGACATGGATGTCCCATCGTAAGTGAGGATCCAAGACCACTCCAAGGTATTTTATGTTGGGCACTCTATTAATTTGCATTTTTTGATAATTAATATTGAAGGAGAAATTTGTGTAATTTGGCAGATGTCTAGCATAAGATCCAAATGGTAAAAAATGTGGTTTAGAGTAGTTAATGCTTAATTTTCTACTGTTAAACCACCGAATAATTTTGATAAAATCATTTTCAATTACATTTTTCAGACCAGACCAGATACATTTCTTTACTAAATGATCCTGATATCTGCACAGATTGTGGGCGATTTGACAAATAACTTTCGATCAGTGAGTACGCGTTTCCTCTGAAACCAATTCTCTCCAATGCTTCTAATAATAATTTGTGATTAACTGTGTCGAAAGATTTAATGGACGCTCACAACGATCCTAGTGAGCAAACGTAGAATGACTGTTTGCCCCCTAAACTAGCTGGTCTGCAAGATGACATTTTATAGTATTTTGACGTTTAATAGGTTTTTCATACCCGTGCGGGAACAGAAACAAAGGAAATTTTTACATTCTCTGATTCTGGATGAAAATTGTCTCAACCTTGAACGTCCTTGTCAAGATTCACCGTAAACAACTTCAATCGTTTGAAAAAATTGCCTGGTTGTATCTAAAGGTATAGACAAGAAGGAAACAAAAACATTGCAGGCGCTGAAGCTACCCTTGACTGGTGACCTTGAAAGTGATATTGGTTATAAGCGATCAACTCAAAGTCAGAATAGTATTTTCATGATGCCCTATATCTCAGGTCCCTGAAACGGATAGACTGGAAAATTTTACACTTAATCATGGCCTTGGCCAATTGTCTTTAAGGACTTTATAATTTTTACCGAAAACTTGACCAAAACCTAAAACTTGTCGTTTCAGGGCTCAAACGTATGATTTAAGGAAACAATAAGCATCCCGAACTCAGAGCTACAAGGTCATTCTCAAGGTCAAATTCAAGCTGATGACTGGATAGCCAGAACACAATCCTCAACATCTACCATTTTGCTGTTGTTACACGTCTCGAAAATCCTCGAATACCTTGACTTTCTGGGAGTTTTGGATCACGAAATGACAGAACGATAACACCACTATTCCTTCAACCGTCATGTTCGCTCCCTGTTTGACAATCATTTCCGCATATCCTTACACCAATAGAACAAACCTTGCGGGCCCAGCCTATGCAGTGCAGATATTGAAAGGTCGCAAATCGATTAAGCAATAACCGGTCGGCAATTTGGCCCTTTAGGAAAGTCATACGTCTGCTGATTCTGGCGACCGCCTGTAGAGGGCGTTTCGACTGAGGTGCGGGCTTTGTTCGGATTTTACGTCGTGCAGTAATTGCGCTAAATTACCAGGCCAAAGATAAATGGCAGTTCAGTTGCTGCTGCTGCTATTTCTATTACAAAGACTAACCGCCAAGTGCATAGTTGCTTCTCCGCCTGAGGAGTCCTTCTTCCTAGGACGCGGTGTTATGAAAGTGTTGATCTGTTGATGAATTGAAAATATGTTCTTACATATGTCAGTAATTTGACGTTTTTAGGTCAAACTCGGGGTCTATGCTATTGCTAGATGATTTCGGCGATAAAGTAGAGAATCGGTATCCGTGTATATCAAGGAACTGCTAATAACGGTTTCACCATATTCAACCTGTCCTTCGTTCATTTTCATTTCCTGCATTTTGCAATAGCCGAGACAAGGTCCTAATACTCCCGGAAGGAGCCGTTAAAGCCTTTTTTCCTGGAACAGCTCTATAAGGAGCGACACCGTAATTTCTCAAAGGTATTATAACTTCTGCATGTGTTTGTGTATTGTATTACGCCGCAGGATTTGCTTGCTGCATATAACGGACTTGAGTCGGTTGTGTGCTTAACGGGGCACAGGGAGTTATTTGAAGTTTAATGCTCACTACAGACTTAGATGCTAATTGGTCGCAAGTTTCAATACAGGAGTTTAATAGAGCATGCGGGCAACCGATGCTAAAGTGGTAATACACAAACAGTCAAATCGTGCAAGATATACTGAGCGACAAAAAAGTTGATGCGATGTTGATCCATGAAGGCTAACGATGCTCTGGCAACATGCTGTCTGGCATTATCTTGCTGAAAAATCGGGTTTGGATGGTGCTTACGTACGGAATTTGACAGCCCGAATTTAGCATCGGGCTATCATATTGCCTCCGATGAAAATTAGCGTTGATCTCCTACCATAAGCAATAGCACCTAATACCATAACTCCGTGTGGTGAACGTGAAGCTCTCTGTCAAATTGTGGGCCACGTCTTTTACCTCGCCGCCTTCCCACGCTTGCCCGACCATCGCGCATCCTCAGACAGAAGCGGGATTTGTTACTGAAGACCACCTGATTCCAATCCCGGTCCTACAGAATTCTTTTTCTACACCAAAGCAAACGGTTACGCCGATGTTCAGCTGCGAGAGATAGTACCCAATGTGGGTTAAAAAAAAAGGTCAAACTGTCGTATTCGGGGATATACCGTAAGCATACCATCTATCCTTCCATGCTCTTCAAAGCACTGATTAGCGACTGCTCGAGTATTAATCTCGAATCTGTCTCTCTTCTGGAAGAGAGTATGATTTTAACCTTGGAAAATTGCTCATTAAATGTTTAGGCCTTTCTTATGTTCCTAGAGTTACTGACGAAACTGTGTACTCTTCAACCCCTTTGGACCAGGTATATATTTTTATTTGTAGCTTGAATTTTTTTCGCGAAGTTGTGCTTCAGTTGTTATTAGACCAGCCCCATAAACCATCTCTTTAAGTTCTCTAGGTTATTGGCTAGAAAGCTAAGGTATCCTCCTCCTGACAACTTTGGGGGGATCTCGAAAGGGCCAATTACCTGATCGTCAAGAATACCCGCCCAAATATTTATTTTAAAACGTTGGAAATGACCTTCTCGAGTGATATGAGGATTTTCTTGGGTCCATGTGTGAGTATTATATTCGTCCGTCGCTAGAATTTAAAAAAAAAAACTGGATTTTCAATGCTTCTGTGCAAAAACCACTGACAGAATGATCTATTTTCGACCGATTACTCTTTGATCTTTTGTACTTAAGACACTGGAAAGGATAGT